GTTGGGGCTGTGGGAGCCGCTCCCCTGCAGCCATGCTCGCCCCTGCACCCCACCTCCTCCCTGCTGTGGCCCCAGGCACACGTGGCTCCTTGTGGCTGAGCTCTGTGCCCACAGCCCTGCTTCCTAGCCTCCAGGCAGCCCTGGGAAGACTAAGAACAGGATTGAAACCAAGAGGCTTGGCTTGCTACCTGAAGTTCCCTTTTCTTCTGGGTGGTTTTGTCTGAGGCCCTGGGGGGATTCCGGACCAGGCCAAGAGTGCCCCACGTGAGTGTGCAGGGGTGGGGTGTGGTGGGTGCCCAGGGGCCCAAGGGAGAGCACAGGAACCCCCCTCCACAGGATGCTCTTAGCTCTCTGCCTCCTGCAGGGATATGCTTGCTGCCTGCTCCCCGGCAGAGCAGTCTAAGCTGCTCTCAGCTGAGCCCTGTGGTGCCCCCAGCCCTGGTGGGCTCCTCCTTGTGCCCCAGCGAGCTTGCAGCGTGGGTGAAGACTGTCCCACCCATAGCCTGCGGACCAGCCCTGGGCTTGCCCTGTCCACACAGCAGGATGGCCTCCCAGTAGAATCATGTCCTCCTTTGGCTCCATCCATGTCTTGGCTCTAAATAATCTGACGTCAAATTGCATGTTTGGAGGGCAGTGCATCTGAAGGGCGCTGTGTCCCGAGTCCCCACACCCAGCGGAAACCATGTCAGCAACCTCAGGGGGTCTCACCATGAGTCCCGAAGCAGAGCTGGGCGGCCCTTGGGAGGGTCTGCCCTTGCCCCCGACTGCCCTGCCCTGGGAGCCTGTGTGGTTGGAATGACCCCCGCCCATCGGAGGATCGTGGGCCATTGGCTCCCCCTGGCCTGCACTGTGGCCCAGTCCTGGGCTGTCCACACAGAATGAACAACCTTTTAGATTCTCTAGGAGAAAGATGGAGGGATTTCCTCAAGGGCCATCAGGATGCAGCCTGGGACCCAGGCCTAAATAAAAAACTAAAATTTATTCATTAAGGCTAATCACTGTGCTGCACAGAAAAAGAAAAGCAGGACCATGGACAGCAGCTTGAAGCACTGGGTGAGGAAGAGCAGCCCCATGCTCGTGGCCTTGTGCCCTCTGGGTATACAGGGCCAAGCCCCTGTCTGGTGAGGAAGAGGCAGCCCTGTTCACAGCAAAATGGTTTTACATAAGAGTTTACAGTATAAGAAGACATCTCTTGCGTGCCTGGGTGACTCAGTCATTAAGTGTCTGCCTTGGGCTCAGGTCATGATCCCAGGGTCTGGGATCAACTCCTGCATGGGGGGTCCCTGCTCAGTGGGGAGTTTGTCCCTCTGCCCCTCCCCCTGCTTCTGCTCTCTCTCTCTCAAATAAATTCTTTTAAAAAAGACCATCATCCCATGGTCTCATGTATCTTAAGGTCATGGACTATGTCCCCTTTGCAACCTGAGTACCTAGCACAAATCTTGGAGTCCTAGTCCATGAATGGGTTTGTTATGAGGCTCCACAAAGAAGACTGGATTGATCGAGTGTGGTAGGTGGAATTCTAAGAGGGTCCCTTATTTTGTGTGACACTCGTATGTATATTAACCGATTTCTTTCTTTTTCTTACCTTCTCATTTCCTTACCATCTATCGTAAGATGCATTAATGGTGATTTACCATATTTCAGTATTTGATTTGCAAGATATCCAAGGTTCAGTGTTACTTATCCAGAGGAGAGATTAAGGGCATCCCAAGATATTTAAAGTGATGCATTGGACTTTGTATCCTCTTTTGGGAAGACGGTTGGCATGTTTTAAATTGTATGTGGGGTAATTTCCCTATGTTAGGAGGAAGACAATTTTTCTCTTGTTTTTTTTTTAATTTACTTTTATTTTTTTTAGGTTTTATTTTTTGAAATTTTATTTTATTATGTTATGTTACTCACCATACAATACATCATTAGTTTTTGATGTAGTGTTCCATGATTCATTGTTTGCGTATAACACCCAGTGCTCCATGCAGTACATGCCCTCCTTAATACCCATCACCAGGCTAATCCATCCCCCATGCCCCACCCATCTAAAACCCTCAGTTTTTTTCTCACAGTCAATTGTCTCTCATAGTTCATCTCTCCCTCCTATTTTCCCCCGTTCATTTTCCCCTTCCATCTCCTAATGTCCTTCATGCTATTCTTTATGTTCAACAAATAAGTGAAACCATATGATAATTAACTTTCTCTGCTTGACTTATTTCACTTAGCATAATCTTCTCCAGTTCCACCCATGTTGATGTAAACGAAGGGCATCTCGGCTCTTTCCACAGTTTGGCTATTGCGGACATTGCTACTATGAACATTGGGGTGCATATGGCCCTTCTTTTCACTACATCTGTGTCTCTGGGGTAAATATCCAGTAGCAATTGCTCGGTCATAGGGTAGCTCTATTTTTAATTTTCTGAGGCACCTCGACACTGTTTTCCAAAGTGGCTGTACCAACTTGTATATAGCTTAAAGTTAGGCATTGTGATGCCCCCAGCTTTGGTTTTCTTTTTCAACATTCCCCTGGTGATTTGGGGCCCTTTTTGTTCCATGCAAATTTTAGGATTGTTTGTTCCAGCTCTGTGAAAAATGTCAGTGTTATTTGGATAGGGATTGCATTGGAAGTCTAGATTGCTCTGGGCAGGATAAACATTTTAACCATGTTTATTCTTCTAATCCATGAGCATGGAATGTTTTTCCATCTCTTCATGTCTTCCTCAATTTCTTTCATAAGTTTTCTGTAGTTTCTAGAGTATGGATCCTTTACGTCTTTAGTTAGGTTTATTCTGAGGATTTTGGTGCAATTGTAAATGGGATCGATTCCTTAATTTCTCTTTCTTCAGTTGCATTTTGTTAGTGTATAGAAATGTAGCTGATCTGTGCATTGATTTTGTATCCTGCCACATTACTGAATTGCTGTATGAATTCTAGTAATTTGGGGTGGAGTCTTTTGGGTTTTCCACATAAAGTATCATCTCATCTGCAATGAGAGAGTGTCTGACTTCTTTGTCAATTTGAATGCCTTTTATTTATTTTTGTTGTCTGATTGCTGAGGCTAGGACTTTTAGTACTATGTTGAACAATAGTGGTGAGAGTGGGCATCCCTGTTGTGTTCCTGACCTTAAGGGAAAAGCTCTTAGCTTTTCCCCATTGAGAATGATATTTGCTGTGGGCTTTTCATAGATGGCTTTTATGATATCGAGGTATGATCCCTCTATCCCTATTCCTTGAAGAGTTTTAATCAAGAAAGGATGCTGTATTTTGTCAAATGCTTTTTCTGCATCAGTTGAGAAGGTCGTATGGTTCTTGTCTTTTCTTTTATTAGTGTGCTCTATCACGTTGACTGATTTGTGAATGTTGAAACACCCTTGCATCCCAGGAATAAATCCCTCCTGGTCGTGGTGAATAATCCTTTTCA